CCACATCTGTGCTGACTCTGGGTGGTGTTAGAATTCAAATGTTAGACACAGAGTTGGTGTTAGAGGACTGCTTGGTATTCAGCAAAGTCTACTGATTTGGTGACAGAAGAAAGATATCACAGAAGCCTGGCCCAGAATAAAACTCTGGGTGTTTGGAAAGGGCAGGCTCTGCTCTCCTGTACACAGGTTGTCACATTTCAAATTGTCCTGTGATTCCAGGTCTCCTCCCAGGGTGAGAGAGAATGAAAACTCAGAGGAAAGGAGCTCTGATGACAGATCGCTTTTTCCCACAGTTGCCACCACAAAATTCCCACAAACTCACACACACACACAAAAAATTGGAAGTGAAACTGTTGACCACTTCAGTTCCTTTTAATGGTGGTTAGATGGCAAGAGCTGGCATTTGGGTTAAGTCAGCCAATTCAAAACCCACAGAGATCAGTTACCACGTATCAAATTTTAAAGCAGATTTGATTCATTAAAAGCATCTTAAGCCGCAGCAGAAATTGCAGAAATGAAGCAATTCAGTATTTCCACTAATGATAATTTGTATTAAACATGTCTTTCTATTCTGTGTTGACCATTTGACATCTGCGATTCTTAACTGCTCCATAAACCTGCTGAATCACAGGCCATAGGAGGAATCACTGTTGTTTACATGCTTTTTTCAGGCAGCTCTTATGAGCCTGCAAATGTTATTCCCAACCACTGACACCAACATGCATTATTTTACTTTGTATTCAACAGGGAAATGCCCCCACGTTTTTGCTTCCAACCATCATGTTCATAAAGAAATAGTCCCAGTTCCCTGATAAATTTGGTTTCCCGCCCCTGCATGACACAGCCTTTGTGAGGCACCTCATGGCCTGCCTTGCCTCTTGTTTCTGGTGGAAGTGTATTAAACATCTTTTAATGGCATTCACCTTTCTTTTATGAATTAGGATTCAGGCAAAATTCAAGAAATCATGTTGCTGTGCTTTGTTACCAGAAATAATATGTGGTTGAGCCCAGCATGGTGGCTCATGCCTGTAATCCCAGCACTTTGGGAACCCAAGGCAGGCGGATTACTTAAGGGCAGTTCAAGAGCAGCCTGGCCAACGTAGCAAAACCCCATCTCTAACAAAAATACAAAAACTAGCCAGGTGTGGTGGTGGGCCCCTGTAATCCCAGCTACTCAGGAGGCTCAGGTAGGAGAATCACTTGAATCTGGGAGGTGGAGGTTGCAGTGAGCCAAGATCATACCACTGCACTCCAACCTAGGTGAGAGTGAGACTCTCAGGAAAAAAAAAAAAAAAGTAATTGACAGTTTGATAAAAATAACAATTTGTAGGCTGCTCTAGGCAGAATAGACATTTATATTCATTCTTCAAATCCATGAACATAGAATGCTTTTTCATTTGCACTATCTCTGATTACTTTCAGTAAAGTTTTGTAGTTGTTCTTGTAGATATTTTACCTCCCTGGTTTGTTTTTTAGATGGAGTCTGACTCTGTCACCCAAGCTGGAGTGCAATGGCGTGGTCTTGGCTCACTGCAACCTCTGCCTCCGGGGTTAAAGTGATTCTCCTGCCTCAGGCTCCTGAGTAGCTCGGACTACAGGCACGTGCCACTATGCCTGGTAATTTTTTTGTATTTTTAGTAGAGATGGGGTTTCACTATGTTGGCCAGGTTGGTCTCGAACTCCTGACCTCGTGATCCACCCACCTCAGCTTCCAAGTGCTGAGATTACAGGTGCCCGGCCTACCTCCCTGGTTTAATGTATTTCTAGGTATATTATTTTTTGTTTATGGCTATTGTAAAGAAAACTGTTCTTGATTTTTGTCATCAGCTTGAATGTTACTGGTGTGAGGAAATGCTATTCATTTGTGTCTATCAATCAATTTTGTATCCTGAGACTTTGCTGAAGTCATTTTTAAGCTTAGGAGTCTTTTGGCAAAATCTTTAAAGTTTTCTAGATAAAGAACTATATCATGAGTGAATACAGTTTGACTTATTTTCCTATTTGGATGCCATTTATTTCTTCATTTTGTTAGATTGCTCTGACTAGGCCTTCCAGAACTATGTTGAATAGGATTGTTTAGAGTGAAGTCTTATTTTTATTCTAATGAGAAATGCATGCAGCTCTTGCCTGTTCAGTATGTTAGCTGAGGATTTGTCATAGATGGCTCTTATTATTTTGAGGTATGTCTCATTGATGTCTACTTTTTTGAGAATATTTTAATGAATGAATACTGGATTTTCTTGAATGTTTTTACTACATCTATTTTGTTGATCTATTGTGTTGATCACATAACTTTTTGCTTTTAATTACATGGTGAATCACACGTATTGACTTGCATATGATGAAACATCCTTACATATGTGATACAACGCTCACATGTTTGTGGCAACATAACTTTTTGATTTGCCTGTGAACTAAGCTTGCTAGTAGTTCATGGAGGATTTTTGTTTCAATGTTCACCAAAAACATTGGCCTGTAGTTTTTTTGTTGTTATGTCTTCACTAGATTTTGGTATCAAGATGATAGGAGTGGCCGGGCGCAGTGGCTCAAGCCTGTAATGCCAGCACTTTGGGAGGCCGAGACGGGTGGATCACGAGGTCAGGAGATCGAGACCATCCTGGCGAACACGGTGAAACCCCATCTCTACTGAAAAATACAAAAAACTAGCCGGGCGAGATGGCGGGCGCCCGTAATCCCAGTTACTTGGGAGGCTGAGGCAGGAGAATGGCG